AGGCATTTCATCCTCCACCTCATGTGACAGCGGAGGACGGGAGACTTCATCTGCTCTGCCCTGTCAGAGCACTGAGTATTTACACTCTGAGGTCCTCCCGTTGGAGGAAGGCTGACCAGCTGCTAGTGTGTTTTGGGTCTCCCAGGGCCGGGCTCCCTGCATCCAAACATACTATTAGCAACTGGATTGTTCAGACTATTTCCCTGGCCTATCAGGTGCGCGGTTTGCCTTCACCTGTGGCTGTGAGGGCTCATTCTACCAGAGGCAAGGCGGCCTCTCGAGCCCTCCTTTCCGGGGCCTCTTGCAGGATGTTGTTTAGCGGCTGGCTGGGCCACTCCGCACACATTCATTCGGTTTTACAGTCTTGACCTTCCTTCGGCACCTGGCACTCGTGCGCTCTCCTCTTAGTAGTGCCACTTTATTGCACACAGGGGCAGGCGGGGTTTTCGGCACGGTTTAGTGGGTATCTCGTTCCCATAGTGTCGTAACCGACGCAGTTCGAGTTCCCTAGAATAGTTATCATTATTTGAAAATGTTAGTTTTCACCGCCATGATCTCAGGCGAGATGTGTGGACTAAACACTGGCACAGCTTAGAAATTGGAAGAAAACTAGGTTTATGAAGGCCCCCTCAAATAAATTGAGAAAAACAAAAACTATTAAGTATTAAAACTAACATTAACGCTATCATTTTAGTTTATTTTAGTTAGTTTTTTCACACCTATTATGCATTATCCTCATACATTCATCATCTCATATATGTTTGTACATAACTTTATTTATTTTACTGATTTTATGTAAGTCGGCCGTGACTTTCATGATGTTCATATAATGTTTTTATCAAGGTGCCTGCTCATGTTATGTTCATGATAAACACTATGTTTCTTCAGTTTATTAGTTTCCCCTGCAGAATCATTGTTGCTACACAGTTTTATTGAGACCTCCTGTACAACACAATACTGTAATAAAAATCTACTCTTTATGCCATCAAAAATGTAATAAAACCTGATAATGCAATAACTTCCCGATAATGTAATAAAATGTCTTAACCAGAAATGTAATAAATTCTGCTACTCTACTTGCGGTTATTAGACAACTAGGTCAATGTTCTAAAAACATGCTACAAATAATGTGTAAACATTTTGGGAATGCACTATTTTTGCAAATTGGTCATTATTTTCAAATGGACAATAATCAAAATAATCACATCTAATAACAGTACTTTTATAATTGTTTTTATTTGTGGATATTACACATTGCAGCACTGCCATTGATCTACAGTGGATGAAAAGATCTAAAGAGCCAAATAAGCCAAACAGTATTTTTCATAGTCCTGTATCTCCATATGATCTTTTACTATACATTCTTAGTTAAGCAGAGTGTAGGCAAAACAAAACAAAACAAAACCAGAAATGTGCAAATGCGCATCATATACTACAATAATCTTTCATAACTTAAATCTGATGTTTCAGCAGATCAGTGCATTTATTTTATATAGTTTTACATACCACATGGTGGAAATATTTTAATACACATTTATTTGCATAAGGATGAAGTGAAATGCACTTTTATAAATGTTCAAATGCAAAAAATACATCATCCGTTCTTTTAATGCAGCATATTCACTAAATAAAATCTGTTCTTGACAAACAAAACGGTATGTAAGCTTCAGTACTGTTTAGCAATACAGATCTCTGTTCATTTCCGAGAGGGGAGTAATTACCTGCAGATAAGACTGCCTGACTAACAGGGGTCTGTCAGATCAAAGTGCTGTGTACAAAGTAACAAGGACAGGGTTTATCAGGACCTCTGAATGGTCAGAGGACATAAACTGAGGCCTCCAAAATGGATCTCCACACACACACACACACACACACAGGCACAAATCAAATAGCTTTTGTTCTCCACTCACACCAGAGTGTCAAACTGATAAGGCCAGCAGACGTGGTCGTAAACTCTACAACCATTTTGGCTTTGAAGGAACCAGCCCAGGTACTCTATCTATTTTAACCCACTTGCAAATGTGAAAACTTTTTAAATAATATTGTACAGAATATCACCCTGTCTCATCAGATCTATTCTTCCTACCTGTGGTATAGGAATTGGTTGGTAAATTGAATTGGTAAAGTGATCATGTCCAAATTCCAAATTCTCTCCATGGAGTCACAGTGCCCTCCGACGGACAAATGACGTATAACATACCACGGAATCTGACTACTTCATGTTATAGGGATTGTAAAATTTGCAAGTATAAATCTCTTTGTTTAACTTGTTCAGTTAATTACTTCCTTCTTCTTTTAAGTAGCTATTAACCCTTCGGATTTGTGTGAATGAAAGTTACGTAGAAGTGCTTAATAGTCAAGACTTTCTAGTCTATGGATCACAATCTCTGATACTGTGAAGTATAATGTTAATCTTGTCTTTATAAAGTTATCTTTATTACTGTTAAATTGATTTCTTGTTTCTGCTATCTTTCTATTTTATCATTAAGAATTGTTGAACAATCAGAATGTGCATTTTCTCTGATCTTATTTAGTTACCCTGTGCTTATTTAACTGTAATGAGAGTATACGATTGTGGCTTTGTCGTATAACCACCGATGACATTAAGAAGAGTGTTGACATAGTGAAAAGATATATGATTAAACACACACAAATAGACTTCAGACATTACTTTGGATTAAAGTTTGAAAACCTTGGGGGGAACTCGATCCAAACCTTACGTCACGTCTCCGAAACAGAGGTCTCACTCTTACTCTTTGAACTCTCTCCTGAAACTTTCCTGCCTTTAATGATTCTGCCCGGTGAATCATCCGCAACCCTCAATTCTCCATCTTTTCTTTGTCTACGCCAGAGCAGGAAATTTGTTTCTGAGGCAGTTCCCTGGAAGAAATACCCAGGTCATCTACTTTTTGAATCTATTTCAGCAACGTTTTAATTGTATTTTATTATTTAAGTTATTATTGAATGTTTACTTTTTATCTTTGTTTTGTTTTTTAAGTTATTACTTCATTTAACTTACGCATCTTTTGATTGAGAAGCAACCAACAGTTTCCTTTGAAACCTTATTTAGTTTCAATTGATTTTAACTACCGGCCAACAAAGTTGGTAAAGTTTTTCACATCAGTAAGTTACATCCTCAGTAACAGCGAGGACATCGGACTTTTGAACACTGAGCCACAAATCAGAGCTAACCACGTTTACGTTTACATTTGTAAGCTACCAGTTGAAGCCCGAAGGCCCCCCAGGACCAATCCTCTAGCAAGTCTCCGGATCTGCCATTTTCCAGGTGTATGTGTGATTGCAAGCTCCACCAAAAGATCATGAACGCAATCGAGCAGACCACCAGGTGTGGGCCTTTGAAGCGGCGAACTGGCTGAGGAAACAACAAAACAGTAAGGCAACAAAACTCAACATTCTGTGAATACGTGGTGATGTCCCTGGAGCTCTGAATGTTAAAGTTTGATTACAGTTTAGAGATACCTTAGTATGCACAACCAGTGCCCATTCGCTTCCATTATATCTTTAGAACATATTCTTTTCACAATAGTCAAACAAGAATTTAAATCAAACCCTGTTTTATTCTGTACCAACTTCTGCTTATTGCTTTTGTTGTTGCCATATAATTTACTTTATGATGAAATAAAATAAATCAATCTTCTGTTGGATTTGGAGCCTACTACCTGCTCCCCAGTGACACTAAGAAAGTTCAGGGCATATATAATATTAGAGCATATTACATTCTAAGATAACTTGGGTGTGAAAACATTTCTTAAGAGCCACTCTCACCAACTTCCCAAAACCATTTAAAAACATAACTATTCTGTGATGACTTTGGTCTTATCTTAGCTGTGTCACCTAGGGTTAGACAAAGGGTTAGATATGTACACAAATCACTGAAATCCTTACAACAAATACAAGATTAATACACAGTACTCTGATTTATGTGTATAATTTCATGTTATGGGAATGGGGGAGAGGTTTAGTGTGTAATATTCACAAATAAAAAACGCTGCGCTTTGTCACCTATCCTGTTTGTGATATTCATGGACAGGATATCGAGGCGTAGTCGTGGTGAGGAGGTGCTGCAGTTCAATGGGCTTGGGATCTCGTCACTGCTTTTTGCGGATGATGTGGTCCTGATGGCATCATCGGTCCATGACCTCCAGCTCTCACTGGATCGGTTCGCAGCCAAGTGCGAAGCGGTTGGGATGAGGATTAGCACCTCTAAATCTGTGGCCATGGTTCTCAGTAGGAAACCGGTGGAGTGCCAACTCCAGGTATGGAATGAGTCCTTACTCCAAGTGAAGGAGTTCAAGTACCTCGGGGTCTTGTTCACGAGTGAGGGGAGACTGGAGCAGGAGATTGGCCGGAGAATTGGAGCAGCGGGGGCGGTAATGCACTCCACACTGGCCTGGGAACGCCTTGGGATCCCCCAGGCAGAGCTGGTTAATGTGGCTCGGGAAGGAGCTGCGGATGAAGATGGATGGATGGATGGATGGATGGATGGATGTAATAGTAGACATGATTATAGCATCACCTATTTGAAAATCCTTAATTGCAAAAAACAATGCATTCCCAAAACATGAACACATTATTGATGGCATGCTACTACAACAATATCCAAGTTATTATAATATTGGGAAATTATTATATTATTGGGTTCTGCAAAAATAAGGATAACCCAATACTGTAATGACCCGTTAATGTAACAATTTATTACATTATTGGTTTAGACATTTATTTTCTTATTGGGAAGTTATTACATTATCAGGTTTTATTACATCGATGGAGTTAAGATGAGATTCTTCTTACATTTTTGGGAATAGATTACATTATTGGGTTCTACACCTCCCTCAAACAGCAGAATCTTTCTGCCAAATCTAACTATATAACCATTTGCTGTCTCTGACTGAAATAATGGCTAGCAAAAACCCCAAGAATTTGAGATCTCAAATGAAGCTGTTGAGCACATTGATAAAATCCTGATGTACACACATAAACATGTTTTCCAAATCAAAGCAAATTTATTCATGGGACCCTTTTCACAAAATTTATATCAGGGTCTTACAGATCATGCACAAAGACATAAATAGCTGAATTAAAAAACAGATGAAAACAAACGTATCTGTTATAATCATCCGCCTTGCAGACTGTATTCACAGCATTTTAAAAGAGGCCAAGCTAAAAAAAAGGAATAAATGTGTCTAAAAATATAAGAGTTTCAAAACATCTCCTACAAGTATTTGTAATTTACCAACTTACTTTTGGTATTCAAAGTATAGCTTTCATCATTCCCCTTTAAACCTATTCTAGCTGTTACACATATCAAAACAAGGCAACATCAGCATCCTTTACTGTATGAAGTCTATCTCTTCCACAGTCTATCTCTTCCACTCTTCCTCTGATCTGGCTATGCATTTTTTTATTTTTATGCATCACTGTTTTCTGAAGAAAATTTGATCTTGGAACAAAAATGACAAGAAATTGGAGAGGAGAGGTTTACGTACAACAGCTTCAGGGTAACAAATACCCATAAATCAGTAATGCTGTTAGGTCTAAGTAAAAAACAACATATTTGTATAATAAGAAGAAAGAGATAATAAAACGTGAAATGAACGAAAACAGTGAACATGCTCGGGGCACATGTCAAAATGAACAACTTGGACATTTAATGTATGTATCACCTTAGACATCAACACATTTTAATCAGATATGGAGAGCTGGAGAAGGAAGAGAAACAGTAAGTTTAGTGCTCTTAAGGGTCCAGAATGGAGGTTATTTCTAAGGTATTACGGGCATGTAGGATTATCTTTATTCCAGTCTATTTAGGAAGGTGGTATGAGGTCCAGACAAACTCTCCAGGCCCTTTAAGGCTTCAAGTTCTTAGTCCTTATTAAGAGTGCTCTAACCATTTCAAGGTCACATTTTCCAACCTGTTTCATTTATTTTCCCTTCCGTTTTAATGCATTAACCTTTACATGGTTTATTGTTCTATCTCTTTCTAGCAGATCATTTCTAGCTACCTCACAGGCCGTTAACACTGAACTGTTAAATGTTTTTGTCCCATAGTACCAGCAGTATTCCTAACAAACCCATACAGGAGGTCCAGAGGGTTGTAGGCTGGGATGGACCATCAGAGCCATTCAAGAGGTACTCTACCCGAGACCAGGACCCATTATTGGGCAAAGGTTCCACTCCTAATGTCCAGCACATGACGTTATAGATGTCCACCGCTCGAATTGGAGCTGCCCGAACATTCCGCTTGAAGTCTGGATGAAATGAAGTAAATGTAATTAGATTTAGATTATAATTTACTATATTTAACTTCAATGCAAACTAGAGAACATATGGACAGAGGAGCAATACATTCATTTCTCCTGCACAGTTTACACTAAAAAAACAGGACTCAGCCCAACGTGGGTTCTGGGTCACATATGGTTGCTTATAGGAGACCTATTATGCTGCTTTTCCAGTCCTATATTGTAGTTCTGTGATTCTAGCTTTTTTCAAAAAAATTATTTTCTATTTTATACTGACTTTTCATGAAAGCCTTCATTTCAGCCTCTATCTGAAACAAACTGTAGATGCTCCTGTCTATTTAAGGCCCACCACTCAAAGCCCACTGTCTTCTGATTGGCCAAGACCTGAAGGATGATACCAGGCTGTTGTTGACGCTGAGTGGTACAGACAGACTGAGCGTAGCTGTTCTGTTGCCTGGGGAGCAAATGACCATCTTTGGAATACCAGCTCCGTCTGGCTCTGTGTGTCTTGAACGGAGAAAAAGCAGTTCAAAACAGAGCATTCAGAAGAGGAGGAAATCTGAAGTTTTGACTCACAGGGATTTCTTTTAAATACTTTAACATTATTTGAAGCTTTGGCCATGTTTAACATGAACATCCAACATTAAAATATTGTAGATAAGTCATAAAATAAGGAAAAGCATAATAGGTCTCCTTTAAGGACAGATGAAGTAGGGTTGGTGCTTAATAGATCGCAGGTGTAAAAAATGCCCATATTTTACTATTAAAAAATGATTTGTTTGTTACCAGGTCCTGTCGCCATGAAAAAGCCTCTCATGTCGAGGAACTCATTGTCATAACCATGCCAGCCGTTCTGCCAGGCTGAGGGCTCCCCAGAGTCATTTCTCCAGTATGGGAGTTTTGCCTTGTTCTGGATTGAACACACACACACACAGACAGAGATTTTAACAAAGATAGAACAAAGCAGTTTTTTGGATGTTTGGATTTATGGATTTTTGATGGTTGCAATAATACCAATCCACATGTCATATAGTACAGTCGCTGAGGTGCTCCAAATCATGAAAGGTCATCAACAACAAGTTTGAACAAGTGAAATATTTTCTGTTACCTCAGCAATAAACCAGCCTGGCTCAGCCACCAGCGTCAGGGGGGAGACAAACTTCCCTCCTTTGAAATGGAAACGTTCAGGGATCTCCTGTCTGGCATAGACACGCATGTTAGGGACCTGGGACAATGCAGCATACACCTGGCATAACACACACACAAACACAGTGTTAATAAAATAGTTTTGATAGCAAACCTTATCTATAAAGCACCTACATAACATAAACAAAGTTAATGAGTACCTTGTGAAGATAGTGGACCATTGAGGAAGAGTCAGATTACATTAGTTGTGGGGCTTTAAATAAATGCTGATGTTGCTCTGTGTCTGCTGGATGTGTACACAGGCAACTATTTGCTAACATGACAACCATGACAACTTTACAAGGTGATGAATACTATAGCAAAGGACAAGAGCAGTCACCCGACCCGGATTCAAAAACGGGTCTGCAGGGTACCAAACATGCAACTTTGACTGCAAAGAGCCAGGCTCCTTGGTAAGGCAGTCCAAGCAAATTCTCAGCCATAATGACTGTACTCCGTCACACTGCCTTCCCCTTCGGGAAGCCCACCCATGCCCATCAGATTTAAATACATGTAAATGCACTGATTGTTTGGAGTACAAAGACAAAAAACATGAAATAGTATATGTCACTTTCAAAACCTTTGCACTGTATGTATTTTTCTCTTTTCCTAATGCTTTTGAATGGCCAGTTCCCCTTGTCCCTTTCTTCAATTACTGCCACCTTGGTGATTAGTGATTGACATCGTGTCACCAGCTACTTCTTTTCAGCTGCTAGCAAGGACTTTCAGTGGGAGGGCACAAGTTCACAAAATCCCCCCACCATCCACACAGGCACCCTGACCAACCAGTAACAGGAACTTGAACATTCACCGCCTTCTCAGCCATGAACAAAGCCCACCCTAGCACTACCCAGTACTGTTTTTACTCCTGCCGAGTCCACAGCAGCACTTATTTAATAAAAAAGTACTAGAGACACATAACATGATAGGGGTTGGTTTAGCTGATTTATCAGAGTTGAGTAGGAGAAAGGACAGGGAATCATATACAGGTGCTGGTCATATAATTAGAATATCATCAAAAAGTTGATTTATTTCAGTAATTCCATTAGTTGTCAGTTTTAATCATCACAATTAAATGAAATATATCAGTCTGTGTGTAATGAATTAATATAATTTCCAAGTTTCACTTTTTGAATGGAATTACTGAAATAAATCAACTTTTCTAATTATATGACCAGCACCTGTAGTTTAAGCATTCCTCAAACTGGACCTAGATGTTTTTTCAGCTATCTTTACTCTATCTTACTTTCTCAACACCATCAATTTCTCCATGAATCATTTTATAATCCTTCTCTCTTAATCACAAAAAACATCAGAGCAAAAGCACATATTCTGATCTCACCTCTTGGAACTTGTTATCTTTGGGCCACAGATTGACCACAGGCCCTCTGTCCATCATCTTGACAATGTCCAACATGTTGATATAATTATCCAGCTCTATTACCTTCTTCATCCACTGGATCTTTGTCATGCCGTGGTCTGAAAATAGCATAATGTTCAACTGGTTCACCATGTTCTTCTCCTGCAAGTACATCACAAGCAACATAAATGGATGAAAAATAAACTACATGACAGGAAAATCAGTACTAGCTGTAATTTAAAATAACATTAAAAGTAATATTACTAACTTTGATTTTTCTGTTGAGTGCCTGCATGGCAAAATCCAGTTCTTGCACAGCTGCTCTGACCTGATGAGAGTCTGGACCGAAGTGATGGCCTTCCACATCTATTTTCTCATAATATATTGCTGCCATGACTGCTTGGCCTGACCTACACACACACACACACACAAACACACACACACTCCTTTAGGTATCTGCTACTTCCATTATTGGCATTATCTCAATTAACTCGTTATATTTAGGGCCCAAAATGGGCCCGACCGTGCGAGGTCCCTATTGTATTTGTAAAGATTATTAGGGCCCAAGCACGACCATGTAAGGTCCCTATTGTATTTGTAAAGATTATTAGGGCCCAAGCACGACCATGTGAGGTCCCTATTGAATTTGTAAAGATTATATTTTTAGGGCCCGAGCACGACCGTGTGAGGTCCCTATTGAATTTGCTAAGATTTTTTATTTTTTTTTCTGCAAAGTAAGCTCCATTGTCGGGGGCCTAAACATACTCGAAAACTCACCAAACTTTGCAAACATGTCAGAACTGGTGAAAAATTTCGTATTTTATGGGTTTCGCGCATGGGTGTGGCAAAATGACTCGCTAGCGCCACCTAGAAAATTGGAAAAAACTTTACGTGCTTGATAACTCTCCCACCCCGCAGACATCTACACACCAATACCAATTTATATTCATAGCGGCAAGTGCTATGTAGCAGAAATTCACAGCCGCACCAGCAGAGCTCGAGAGTATGCAACTCGGCCGGCTCACACCCGGACGCGCTACAAGTGCGAGGGCCCGCCCAACGCTGCTTGCAACTTTAATCTTTAGGGCCCGAGCACGACGGTGTGAGGTCCCTATTGAATTTGCTAAGATTTTTTTTTTTTTTCTTTTCCTGCAAAGTAAGCTCCATTTTGGGGGCCTAAACATACTCGAAAACTCACCAAACTTTGCACACATGTCAGAACTGGTGAAAAATTTCGTATTTTATGGGTTTCACGCATGGGCGTGGCAAAATGACTCGCTAGCGCCACCTAGAAAATTGGAAAAAACTTTACGTGCTTGATAACTCTCCCACCCCGCAGACATCTACACACCAATACCAATTTATATTCATAGTGGCAAGTGCTATGTAGCTCCACATAGGGGACACAGGAAGTGACATATAGCACCTTCATGCAGCGTCGGAACCGCGTAGCAAATTCACAGCCGCACCGGCATCGTTCCAGAATATGCAACTCTGCCGGCTCACACCCGGACGCGCTACAAGTGCGAGGGCCCTCCCAACGCTGCATGCAGCTTTAATTACAATTATGAACTTACAAGACAAGAGACCATACAACACAATACAGGAACTGACATAGGACGAGACAAAAAAAGAGCAGATCTGTAAGGTGGCGAGAACATGGTGTGACTGGAACATTTATAAAGCCCATATCTAAATCTGGCTGCAAGGCATTCAAAGCTGGCAGTGGTCTGCCGGTTGCCTCCTGAAGTCTATCACCATCTCTTTTGTCTATAAACCAACTGCGTTTCTCTGACCTGCCCACTGAAACCAACCTGCTTTGTGAAATGAGAGGGCTGGGTGCAATCAGTCCTAATGCAGCCGTATTGTTACACAGACATGTTCAGGCTCTGTTTCTACCAACGCCCTGGGTCATACACTGCAGGGAGAGGGCATATTGGCACAATACTCCTGGGAAAAAAAGCAGTGTGACAGCTTCACACAACATGCTGGAGACTCAGGTTAACTCCCACTGCAACGTTACAGTAATATTGTTATCAGCTTGAGGTTGAAGTAATCCATGCAGGTTACATGATAATGTTACATTTACTGCATTTACCCAGTGTGATAGATCGGCGTTAGCTAGCCTGTCTGCTTTTAAGTAACTAACATTACTATTAGTGTTTCTTTCACCGGAGGCTCAGCAATGTCAACACAGCTATTGTACAGGTCCTTAACAAAACAGTTAGTGAGCTAATCTCAATATTATATATGAGATTTTTGCCACACAGTAGGTAACTGTAGTGAATTGTTCTTCCACTGTGTTGTCCTGTGCCATTATGTTGCATTGTTGTATATTATGTGGGTCTCGTAAGTTACAGCGACTGAGACAATGGAGAGGCTGTGTACCTGAGTATCGGTAAAACCTCAATAAATTTAAATTGAACGTGTGATGGAAATTTGATATTTTACTGTGTTTACTGTTTCACCCTGCATGCTTCATCAGAATAGACCAGTGTTTCACTGTGTGGTATTTGATTATTTGATTATGTTACAGCTAGGTGAAGTTTTCCATGGGAAAGATGCTCGTTAGAGAGTTTTCTTATCAGACTGTCCTTGATAGGCCTTCATCTCAGGACAGCTGGTCCCTACTCCCTGCCTCCCTTGGATAGCTGCGTAATACCCTTACAGTATAAAGTCACCTGCTTCTTCACTGGCTCTTTGTCTTACACTCTGCAGACTGTTTTGCACTCTGTAAGTTTGTCTGACCCTTTGCAAAGAATAAAACCCTTAAAAGACGTCTGGATTGGAATCTTTATTTCAGAAGACTCACTAAAGGACAAATTTCCATTACAAACGTTATGAAGCAAACAGCGGCTGATCCGTGCTATAGTAGCTGGCAGCTCATGCCTTGCATCAAGGCTGGTATAAACAAATCTCTCCACATTTGCTTTGTACCGTTATATTGTTTCTTGCAGCCTAAAATCAACATTTTGACATAATACCGATGGTACACAGGATAGTAATGTGGATTGCGTTAGCTGATGAAGTAACATAGCAAGCCATAACGTGACTCTCTCTGTGACTCCAGCCTTTCTGATGTTGACTGTGTTTTGACTTCATGTGATTCTTGTTTGACCTGACAGGCTTCAGCACATAAACGTTTATTGTTGTTTTGTATCCTTAGGTGGAGTTTATTTTGGAGTCTGGCAGGGAGCCGGTTGTTTTATGGTGTTAGAGGACTGCATTTTGTTAACTGCGGTGTTGTCGCTGTAGTTGGAGATAGGCAGCTACATACTGACCCGACATTAAAAGCAGTATTGTGTCTGCAACAGAGCAAAAGAGGTGTGCTGAGGTTATAGCAAATTTGATTTAATAATGTTATATTCTTTACTGTTTCTTATTCCTTGATATAACCATCATAACCCAGACTACAACGTAACATTAACCATTTATTTGTACAACGCATGAATGGCGAAGCAGCTGCTAGTGTTTGTCCTCTCTCACGTGTGGCTGCGCACAGCTGATACTACATGTTATGTTGGCAGGTTATAGGTAATGGAGGGAGGGGGGAAAACAGTAAGCTCACCAGAAAATTCCTAAATTAAACATTGTTCACAAGTCCCGCACCTCGAGTCCTAGTCGAGTCTGAAGTCACTGTGTGTGCGACTTAACTCGAGTCCCCATCTCTGTCTCTCCCTCTCGCACTCTCTCTCTAAACCCCAAACCATCGAGGCAGATGACCGCCCACCCTAAAGCGTGATTTATACTACAGCGTCAAATTGACGGTGTAGCTTACACGCAGCCACGTACCCTACGCTGTAGCCTATGCCATATCCTGACGTGCACCTCTCCGAAAATGTAACTACACGTCACTGTGACGCGGACAGCAACAGCTGTGATTGGTCTGCATTTCCTGTACTGTTCTTAGCCTTTTTCAATGTCAGTTGATTTTCCATCAGTGAAGAACGCAAACATGGACCAAGTTGATGAGTGTTTGATAGAGGAAATCAGACAGTATACCCATTTGTACGACTCATATCAGTAAATTACAAAGACTGTCAGATGGTAACAAATTCGAACATTGGTTTGGAGGTGATGGATTGTGTGACATTATGGAAGACACTGCTTGACGGCAGTTTGTAGCTAGCTGCTACGGCCTGTTGGCTTCTACCTGAAGCTAAAATTCGAAGGGTGACTGCCAGTCTCTGATGTCGACAGGCGTACTGTGCATAGACTGATCAATGGCTGCACGCGACGAACCAAATCGTTGAATCTAAGTGCCAGCATCCGAAAATATCTGAAATGCATTTCCTCGTCAATGTCTCTCAGTGCCCAAACCAGCACAGAAAATTCACCCGCTGTCTGCCTCAACTGATTCAACGGTCGTACATACAATCTTCTCCGACACCTTCTCTTGTTTCTGCATTTTAGTCATTTCAGTAGTAGCTGCTGTTCAACATTGATCAGCTGCAACTCCATAATCTGCTCAGTTTCAGTCGCCATTGCTTACAACAACAAAAGTAGCTACTCAAAACAGCGTCGAATAAACTCAACACAGTGGAACTTGATGCATTTTATACTGCATAGATTTGAAAGACTTGGGTTAAGGCATTTAAAGGAACGTACAGGCTTCATTATTAAAAGACAATTAAGTGTCTATTTCCCTCAGCGGTAACCACATTAACCTACATACTTTTATGTGTCTGTGTTTGTATGTCTACAGAGTTCATTGTCATCATTACAAATGTTGAACCTATGCAGCCAATTCAACTGCGAGCTTGACACCACAGGTGATTGTTCTGTACAGGTGGATGGTCTCACAGAAAGGCTCGACAGCAGAGATCTTATGGATTTATGACCTCCAGTCACGATTTAGGGTGGGCGGTCAGGAAAAAGGTTAAAGGAGACCTATTATGCTTTTCCATATTTTATGACTTATCTACAATGTTACAATGTTGGATGTTCATGTTAAACATGGCCGAAGCTTCAAATAATGAGGTTAAAGTATTTAAAAGAAATCCTTGTTTGCCAAAACCTCAGATTTCCTCCTGTTCAGCCTACATGAAGGGCCAGTACAAGATAGAAAATCATTTTTCGAACGTTGAATCATGCAAAGCTGCCATACAGGATTCACAGAAGAAGATAGGACTAGAAATGGAGAATAATAGGTCTCCTTTAAAGTAAGCCATGGATCAGAGGACATCACATGATAGGCTGATAGATACATTGTGGTTTTACCTCAGGACTTTGAGAGCATTCTCTATCGAGTCTGTGAGGTTTTTCTCTGATGGGTTGTAGACATATTCCTCACAGAATGATGGACGGACACCCAGAATCTCCACCTCGCAGCCTGAAGACACACACACAGACACACATGAAATACTGCATAATTTACAGATAGTTCTAAAGATAATTAACATTGCATAAAGGTGCACACGGACCACAGATCACTGGGCATTTGGGCTCAGGAGAGAGACTTGGTGGTTCAATTCATCTCGGAAACAAATATAAAGATTTAATCACAACTTCTAAACTCGAATACTTTATACTAACTGATATCGCTACCATAAAAATCTCTTTTTGACATGGTCCTACACACTCCACATTTATTAGGCTATGGAAAAACATGTCCACATTTGCAATTTGGAACTATAACAGCTGTGAAGATAAAATAATGTAAATCATTAGTTTATGATTTATTCATTCTATAAACCATGAAATTGCTATGTGCTGTTAAGTTTGGTCTCTGAGTACAACTGTTTGTGCCTATGTGTTCTTGGTCATGGTCATGCTTCTAATGCAATGCAGTCCCCATAAAGGACCATAAAGAATACCATGTTCCAGAATCTGTACATGTGCTTTTGGTAATGTCACAGTGCGTTACCACTGCATGTCCAGCTCATGTTATCTGTGTGACTTTCCATGATAGGATACTTTGGAAGATGTCCAATCAGACTGTAATTCTTTGTCTTAGGGGGCTTTCACACTGACCTTGTTTGGGCCGGACTTTCGGATTTTCAGTTTGTTCCAAACCAAAATTCCAGGTGTGAAAGGCCCCTTAAAGGTTCAGTATGTAATAGGAGGATCTACTGACAGAAATGCAATATAATATATATTACTATGTTTTCAGTGGTGTATAAAGACCTCACAGAATCATACGTTTTATTACCTTATAATGAGCCATTTCTATCTACATACAACGTGGGTCCTCTCACATGGACATCGCTATGTTTCTAGTAGCCCAAATGGACAAACGGCTCTACAAAACGTGCTTCGGCACTACGTGGAATACGTACAAAAAAGAAGAAGAACAAGTAAGTTAGTAGTAAAAGTAGTCGACTGGTTTATTAGAAGTAAGAAGAGAAATTTAGGCAAATAGAGGACCACATATATTATTTAGATTCTCCTGCACGTTTGGGAAGGTAGGGGTGATCATGTGGTGTTGGAATAATCACAATCTTTTTTCCTTTTTAAATCTTTATTGTAAAAAGACAAATAATGTGTACACGGGACATAAAGAAATATACAGAGATCAAGCGTAGCGTTAGCTTAAGCAGGCAACGAAGTCAAGCTCAGTTCACAATCCCAGTGCACCAGCTGATAGCAGCCCATGTCAAGTCAAGCCCACTTCAGCTGACAGCTCAGCTGATTTCCCTCTAAGCATTTATTTGCAAAGCCATACACGGCACCTTATTTAAGCTGCCCTAGCCTGCCTACCCTTGCTGCTTTCTCTGCAAGCAGCAAATCTCATGAAAATGTCTATCTACGATCACGCTGCAACTCACACCTGCTGCTCGTGATGTCGAGTTCCGAGCTCTCGCATGGCAAGTAAAAATCTCTGAAAAAATTGCTCTCTTTGCTTGGGCACCTCAATATCGCAATCCACATTATTCCCCAGAGACGTTCCTTTATTTCGAGGCTAGACCTCTCCAAATCAGTGGAGAAGCTCCACGACCTGGTAAGCCTGGATGCAGGATGCAGATACGAGCTCCGGTTCTGGTCCCTTCTGTGTGACGAATGGAACGGCATCTTTTATAATGGCAGCCTAGAATCTACATTTGCGATCAAGTTAAATACAGATGCAGTCCCTTCTGTCAGTTTTGGGGAAGGTTTTCAATAATCAGTGGTTTGCTGATGTAAGGCCAAATGAACTGTCATCCTTGCCAGCTAATGTGGTTTCCACCGTTCTAATGGAAATGTACCCAATTGTCATAGCCTTTCTTATGTGGGGTAAACACTGGTCAAAGAAACAAATTCTGTTATTTTTGTGACAATGAGGCAACTGGACGCTCATCAGTTCCTTTTATTTACAGGTTTGTAAGGTGACGTGGTCGTCTGTTAGTTAACTTCACTGTTCGAGCAGCTCACATTCCAGGCTTAGATAATAGAATTGCTGAGTCCTTGTCCTGGTTTCAATTTAGCCAACTGTGCCTGGAGGCAGCGCTGTCCAGCTTGACCTGTCCCCCCATTCATTCAAACTGTGCTATATTAACCAAGAAACTGCAAAACTATACGCTGTCCGCTGCTCGCTATATGCGATCCAGCTTAGCAAGTTCTACATTAAAGATGTATGATTCTGCATGGTCTTTCTTCACATCCTGTGACACCTCGCCGTAGGTGTTTTGCCTGTCAATACTTCCATCATTTGTGCCTTTATGGTCCACTGCTTTGAATTTCGCAAACTGCAGCCATCCTCCATAAAAGGACTTGTTGCAGGCATATAATTCCATCTTCACTGTTTGGATCCATCCACCAGCAGCCTGCTGTCTTAGCATCTATTTATCTTTTGCTAAATAGCCTTAAGAGAGAGAAACCACAGGGCAATAATAAACGTCTCCCCTTTACACTTTCACACATGCAAAAATGTATCAATTATTTAAGGAGTGGGTGCTTTGGTCCATATTCAGACTCACTATTAGAGAGTCATTCTCATAGCTTTTTATGGGTTTCTCGGAGGTGGCAAATTTACAACACGCACAGGATCTTTAAATCCTTCACATGACCTCACCATAGCTGATGTAGCAATTAACTCTCACTACTTCTCTATAGTCTTCAAAAATCCAAGACTAGGTAGGGATAGGAAAGCTCAAATTCTTATTTCTGAGACTAATAATGCTTTTTGTCCCCTATCCTCCATGACACACTATCTGAGGAGCCGTCCTCAAGCCAGCCCACAGGAGCCTCTATTTGCCCCAGAGGATGGAAAATCCATGTCCTGAGCTTGTTTTGTTTCTCGCCTTCACCTCCTCTCCCAGTCCTGCGGTCTCCCACCAGAGCACTAGACTGCTCATTTCTTCGCATGGGAGCAGCAACAACTGCGGGAACCATAGCTCTTGTGTCAATGCAGTAAGCTATGAGCCGTTGGTCATCATCTGCCTATGAACACTACCTGTGGCCTGACGCTCAAGCCACCTTCAATGCCCAAAAGGCCATGCAACGTTATATTAAAGTTCAGGGTTTGCAATAACTCACTGGCCTTATTACCTTAAAGTAGTTCATCTTTATATGTCTATGAAGATTCTCAGTCATCCAGGTCATAGTTATCCAACGAAGGTTAAAATGAAGGGCAACTGGACTTGGTTGAAGCTACTGGAAGACGTTTCGTCCCTTATCCAAAGGACTTCTTCAGTTCTCTCTCGGGTTCATCTTTATAATTCCAGAGTTTGTACTGCTGAACCACACGCCATTAGGCATAAATTCCTACACTTGATGTCTATCTTTAACTGCTGTAGCTAAATTTAAGGAAGAAATTCAATCTGCATTTAATTCACTACCATGGCTCAATATAACAGAGGACTCCTGTAACTTCAGTTCCGCCCAACTCATTAATAGTGCTGCAGAATTACGGTTGTTTCTGTTAAAGTAAACATTGCGGAAACTTAAAAGGATATGGCGTTCCACCAATCTGGAAGAATTTCATTTAATCTGGCAGGATAGTCTTAAAACACATTGGAGGAGAGTGACGTAGCGACCAACTCTATAATGTCTGTTCACAAATTGTTATAACAGCATTTAAGATATTATCATGGACAATTCATATCTCACACCCCTAGTAGAACACTATATTGATGAAAATAGAAGTATATCTGTTCTGTCAGAAACACATGAGACGGACAACAGAAAAATGCATTTTAAATGGTTTCTGTGTAGATAAGCTGTAAAATAGCCTGTCAACTTGCTGTTGCAGTTTGCAAAATGTTGTGTGTGTGCTCATCATGTGTGTGCTCACCAGGCCAGTAGTACATGAAAACCTTCTTTCCCAGCTTCTGCAGTGTGATCCATAACGGCTCTGATCCATCCCACCAAAGAGGCAACCGGCTGTCAGGATTGGTCCCAATCTGAAACTCCTTATTGGAGACTTCATCCCACATGTAGTTTCCAGTCATCTGATGAACATCACAGTGACGGCCTGACAAAAGCAAATCATAGTATCCACATCACTGATCTACACTGTTGCACTGGGTGACATGTTCCTTCATTACCAATCATTCTCAACCCATAATGCAGTTTTTAGGGAAATTACTGAGCCTTTCTTAGAAATTAAGCAATATATGCATGTGAGGTCTTTTTAAAGATTGACATCTTCAGTCAGAACCAATAGGCTTTGAGTGACAGATAGGGTATTAAAGTATTAAGAGATGGACTAACTTATTGGTTTTGGTTAAAGCAAATTCAGTAAGTGCAGGCTAAAGCAAAGGTGAGTCAGCATCAAGCAGGACTGGCTGGCACAGGGATAATAGGAGGTGTCAATGAACTGGATGCACGTGTGTGTGTGCGTGTGTGTGTGTGTGTGTGTGTGTGTGTGTGTGTGTGTGTGTGTGTGTGTGTCTCCAGCCATTGAATGTGCTTCATCAAAATGCACACGTCAGCACATAAGGGGCAGGCTCCAAAGCTCACAGTGGCCAGCATGGGCTGTTGTTTTTTAGGGCTTAGTAAACTAGGGGACTGCACACAGACGTGCACCTCACACACGAACACACACACACACACACAGCCAAGCAGCGAACATCTCAAATGATACGTATCTCATCAAGTCATCATCCTCAGTCCTGAAGTCATTAAAGTTACGTGTTATGTTTTGCCCAGAGACTCTTCTGAGCTTTTGTGTCAAGCTTCTGTTTTGTCCTTTCTATCAAGTCATATCTTCTGACACACATTAGGTCAATCAAATTTCTGCCTCAATAGATTTTTAAATTTCACAAAATAATAGTAAATCTTGAAAATGACATCGGGTTTCTGTGCCCAGGCTGTACATGTCCTTTTTGCGGCGCACCTCTGTTAGGAATGGGACAAATGCAGAGGCAAAAGCAGGACACAAAACAGGTTCAGCTTCAGTTGCAGATTTATTCTTAACAAAACTCAAAAACTCACAATAAACTCAGTTATCGCTGGCAAAGCCCTATACAGAATAAAAACAGAGCAGATAAACCAAGGATCACAGAACAGGCAGAACACTAAACATATGATAACCAGACACAGTGTGAAGAGACAAGCAAACATTTAAGCACAAGGTAAGAGGCAGGACGGAACCAAGACCAGGAGCACATGAGGAAATCAGAAAGAACTCACACACAAGGTGATGAACAGACATAAAAACAGACAGGTTACACACCAGGCCAAAACCCAAGCAACAAAATAGAAGCCAACTAAAACAGGGCAGACAGGGAGAATCCTGACACACAGGCAGACAGAGTGAAAAACAGGATTGAAAACCCAGAACACAGAAACACATTAGCAGGCTGAATAACAGATAATACAGACATACTCCAAACAAATTGGGAAACAGAATAAAACAAGAGTCAGATGTTTACCATGTAGTGTACCTATTTAGGCTACTGTTTTTTTATGAATATTAATATTCGCAAATATTAATTCATAAACTCTAGAATTTTCGGGCCAGCACCGGAAATTCCGTTTGCCCAGGGCCTCCAGACTCCCCGGGTATGGTTTTAATAATTACACAATTATTCCTAGTGATCAGTTAGAAGTAATTGCTTAATCATTTCTATAAATCAGTCAGTCAATCTCATATCAAAGGTGTAAATCCTCCGTTACAGTGACCTGGAGTTAAACAATACACACACACAGTTCCTGTGATTTAGGTGAAATTTATAAGCTAACTAAAGGTGAATATAAATGTGGTTATATATACATCAAAGAAATAAACAATCACTAAACAAACAGAATGTAAACAATGAGAATGATGGGGTTCAAGGTAAATTGAGTTGTTTTATTGTGGGGAAGAATTTGATTCATAAGGAGCAATAAAATTAATTTCCTTTCCTTTCTTTCTGTCACTACTACAGTTAAAATAAAAATACCATATTCTCATACTAAGTTTGGAAGTGCTACATGTTTACGCAGATTTAAAGTAACCAGGTTATTACAGTGCTTGTAAAAGCATTCTCTGATTACCCATAGAACCTGGTTTCACTGAGGAAACAGGTAATATATAAGTGTGCCCTGAATGCTCTGAATAAGTGTGACATACAGCTGGACTCCAATTAGCATGTGCTTTGAGTTAATGCAGTGATCCTGCTAAATGTTCAGCCTCATAAGTTCACATGACTTCGCTGCACAAAGGCACAACTGTGTCAACAACTGATTGTTGAACATTTTCTGTGTTCACTCGAGCGGCACCCTCAAAGGGTCTCTCCAGTCCAAGTTGGACCAAAACCAACTCACAATCAGCTGAGTCATCTTCTAGGCCTGGCTGGGTATTTCAGACAGTGGATTCAAAGTCCAAACAAGTCAAGCATATTTTATTTTATAGCCCAATATCACAAATCCTAATTGGACTCTGCCCTTAGACCCTCAATTCAAATTCAATTCAAAAACATTTATCAAGAAAACTTTTATTTTTTATTTTTTTAGTGGGTGAGAGTTTGTAATCACAGATGCATTAGCTGTTCAGAAACCACCTTACTGTATTAGAAGGTTACAGAATGATGAGCTGAACATTATTGCAACACAAGCAGGTTGAGAAGTCCTCACTCAGTGAAGCTAGATATTGTTCCACAGCCTCTGTTATGTGGAAAATTATGTGCTTTTATGAAATCTGCTACAACTCATCCTGTACCTCAGTCTTAACTGGAACGGCTGTCACATTCTGCCTGATCGGTCCTGTTTAGGGCTCTGTGAGTTTTGTTCATTGGTCTGTTTGGTATGTGTTATTTAGTATGTGTTTTTGGTCCATCTCTTGTGTTATACTGTTTCGCATCATTTATTCTTATGAGGATGGTTGGGTTGGTTCTCATTCTGTTTTCTTAGTCCTGCGTTTCAGTTGTTTCTCAGATCATGTCTTAGTCTTTACTCCTGGTCTGTGTACTTCAGTGTTTGTTGTTTTGCCCATATCTGCTCTGTGTTCTGTTTAATCCTTGTTTCAGTCTGTTTCCCTATGTTATGCTCCCACCCTGCTCGTTTGTCCCTGAGTATATATGTTTGGTGTTTCTGTTCATTCCCTGTCTGGTCATTGTAGTGTGAATACACTCTGTCGTGTCTCGTGTTTGGAGTGTTCTGCCTGTCTCTGTGTTACCTGATTCCTCTGTTTGGACGTCTTACACACAAACTGCGTGTAAGCTATTTTTGTGGGTTTTTTTGGATTAAAACCTGTGCACCTTCAGTCAACTCTCCAGTGTCTTGCATTTGGGCTCTCTCCTGTTTGCACTTCATCCAAATTCGTGACAATGGCCCCGCCTAAACCTATAAAACTCAACTTATCTTTTCATTACCAAAGTGTCCTGCTCCTACTACTGATATAGTGTATCGTGTATGATTTTAAATGGGTTTAGGATTTTGGTGTTTTGTGGTCAAGCCATGTACTTAACTATTCACAAGGACAGCCGTTTAACACGACTGTCTATTGTCCAAAGCTTGGCTGTTCTGAAACACACAAAATCTAAATGATAGGGATGCACCGATCCAATGCTAATATTCAATTGAATTGAATTGAAGTGAATTCAATTTAATTTATATAGCGCCAAATCACAACAACAGCTATCTCACAGCGCTTTTCATAAAAGAGCAGGTCTAGACCGTACTCTATGATGCTATTTAAGCAGCCCAACAGTTCCCACCAAGAGCAAGCACTAGGCGACAGAGGCAAGGAAAAACTTCCTTTTAAGAGGCAGAAACCTCAAGCAGGACCATGGCTCAGGGTGGGCAGCCATCTGCCTCGACCAGTTGGGGTGAAGGAGAGAGAGGGAGAGAGAGAGGGAGAGAGAAAGAGAGAGAGTGAGAGAAAGAGAGGGCAGGAGAGGAACAGAGAGAAAAAGAGAGGGATGGAAGGAGAGAGAGAGGGGAGGGAGGCAGCCTACACAATATATACACACAGAGGTACAGACAGTAAAGGTGATGTTGCTATAGACTAAATGAAAAATGGTACAGATATTTATAGTAGTGTTAATGGTAACAGTCGTAATGTTAATGATTATAATAACAATAATAACAATAGGACTAGTAACAATAGTCGTTGCAGCAGAGGGTGTCGAGCAGGAACACGGGGGCAGCAGGTGACCCGCAGCCACAGGTCCAGACTCCACAGCTCCAGAGCCAGAAACACCTGCAGGAAGTGATAGGAGGAGAGACGAGAAAGCACAAGACTACCAGAAAGGGGAGAAGTTGTGTTAGTAACATGCAATAATGGGATGAGGTTGCATACAGAGGGAGAGAAAGTAGAGGAGAGAGGAGCTCAGTGCATCATAGGAAATCCCCTGGCAGTCTAGGCCTATAGCAGCATAACTAAGGGATGGTTCAGGACTCACCTGAGCCAGCCCTAACTATAAGCTTTATCAAAGAGGAAAGTCTTAAGCCTACTCTTAAATGTGGAGATGGTGTCTGCCTCCTGAACCCAAACTGGAACCTGGTTCCACAGGAGAGGAGCTTGATAGCTGAACGCTCTGGCTCCTAGTCTACTTTTGGAGACTCTAGGAACCACAAGTAACCCTGCATTCTGGGAGCGCAGTGCTCTGGTGGGGTAGTAAGGTACTATGAGCTCTTTAAGATAAGATGGTGCCTGACCATTAAGAGCTTTGTAGGTAAGAAGAATGATTTTAAATTCTATTCTGGATTTTACTGGAAGCCAATGCAAAGAAGCTAAGACAGGAGAAATATGATCTCTTTTCCTGGTTCCTGTCAGAACACGTGCTGCAGCATTCTGGATCAGCTGAAGAGTCTTAACGGACTTTTTCGAGCAGCCTGATAATAAGGAATTGCAGTAATCCAGCCTAGAAGTAACAAATGCATGGACTAGTTTTTCTGCATCATTTTTAGACAGGATGTTCCTGATTTTCGCAATATTACGTAGGTGAAAAAAGGCGGTCCTTGAAATTTGCTTAATGTGAGACTTAAATGACATGTCCTGATCAAAGATAACTCCAAGATTCCTCACAGTGGTGCTGGAGGCCAGGG